CTGTGATTCCCCACAGTCATTGTATGTCCTCCCTCTTCCAGGAAGCTGAAGCTGGGTATAATAAAACCTGGAAAACTGAGGATATCATGTGGTGAAAAGCCATTTTAGGGGGAAAAAAATGCTTTTGGGGTTTGGCTTTAATGGTAAACGATAAAAATTTTGGCTCAATATTATTTGTATGCAATCTTTATTTACAAATAATTATGTAAAACAACGGGTAACAGGATTATTTTGCAGGGGAAACTCAAAAAAACTAAAAACTGCTGTGTTGACAGACTCTATTATATATGTAATTATTTATTTTCCCGATTGTTTTGTTTCAAAGCCCAAATGAACCTTCTATAATTAGTACCGTGATACAGTCAGGCTGTATATACAGCAATAAATATGGGGTTCTTTTGTATTTTTTAGCGCTGATAAGTGCTGGTTAAAATACCCGGTGCTTGCGGCACATAAGAGCGTCAGACCTTTGCTCTCTCACAAAACTCAGTTGCCCGGCTCTTAAAGCAGACCTTTACCCCCTATCACTAAAAATTACATCAGCATGTAGCTCTGCATGCTGATATGAAATCGTCTTACATTCATTGGTTAAACAAACTTATTTTTATTTTACTAACAATTATTGTTTTTCCACTTCCTGGTCCCCTTGGGCATTAGTGATGTAATCTGTGCCTAAGCGATGCATCCGGGGAAGGTGACATCAGCAGAACATTGCTGGGAAATCTCATCTGTAATCTTATGAGATCTCAGGGAAAGGCATTTTCCTTCCATGAGATGATGTACATGGTCACATGTCCTAGTCACATGTGCCAGAGTTCCAGGAAGTAGCCTGGCAAAGAGTTGGTCCAGGCAGGATGTTAATATTATTAATCTGCCCTTAGTTAAAATGGCAACTGTGTATTTGTTGTTATTTCAAAGATTACTAGTCACATGTGCCAGAGTTTCAGGAAGTATAGGGAGACATATTAATTTGCTCTTAGTAAAAATGGCCACTGTGAGAAAAATGGGGAGGAAAAGAGAAATAAGGAATGCAAAGAATACAAAGCCGGCAATTATCTAGAAGTATGTGTTTTTAGATTGTCATTACTAAACATTTCTGAAAGGGTATTTGTTGTTATTTCAAAGATTATGGGTAAAGTTCCTCTTTTAGGCCCCATGCACATGGAACGTTCTAGGATTCCTGCGTCAAAAACATACAGATTCCTGCCGCAGGAATCTAAGATTGCCCCATGTGAACAGAGCCTAAGTGGTCCGACATCCCCCAGACTGAACACTGCTCCAGTCAACAGCTCTGCTAAAGTAGTGGGAGCACAGTTGATTAGAGCAGTGTGTAGGGGCTACCAAAATCAGCCAATTGTGCCAACCAAACCAAACCCAAGTACCTATTTATTACCAAGTCAATGTACACTGCTCCTTTTCTTCTTTCTTACGAGCCATGGTGAAGGGGCAAAGCTTGATTCCTGAAACATGTTGGTCTTATGTATAGTTTTTACACACTGTATGAATAAATATATATCTGGACTCTGATATTACTGAGTTGGATCTTCACTACTGGATCTACTCATTCCACTAGCCCAAGGTGAACGTGGAAATCATGGTGTTTTTCTAGCTCTGTGTCCAGACATACCACACCACCTCCAAATTATTGGATCCAGTGGCATCTATCCACTCCCCTAAGCATGTTACAGATGTGAAAAGTCTTCTCTCAATGAACAAGTTCATTCAAAATTCTTTCTTTAGCTCCCAATATCTCCACCAGTTTCTGAGACATTAAACACTTATGGTCATTTGTCGTCCTTGGTGGCCAGTTTGCACTCACCTCCCGAATCTCTGATAGCAGTTAGCATCAATCATCCCTACTACACACACCAACTTAAATATCAATTGAAGGAGCATTTAAATAGCTATTTGCTGCAGAGAAGTTGATTTTTTTTGTATTAAGTGACTGACAAGTGTCACAATTCGTAATTAATAAGAAATGGGTTTGGAGTGCCAGGTAGAGACATGTTTTAATTAAGCCCTGTCATTCACTGTGCCAGGTTCTGCTTGTGCATTTGAAAGTAATTTACATGCAAATTGACGACGGGATGATCCGGTGGGTTTTTGTTCAGTTGCGGAATCGAAGATTAGGAAGCGAACATGGAATATAGGTTGTAATAACAACATATCCATACGTTCTTTGATTGTCAGTCATGTAAAGTCATTCATTCATCATTTGAGTTGTCCCTGTAAGTTAATCACAAAAAAGGAGTTGAAGACCCGGATGGCTGAGCATCTGAAGGATATTATTACAAATAATCCCAAATGTCAAGTGGCAGCACATTTACTAGAACACCATAATTCCTTCCTGAAAGACATGAAAATAAAAATAATTTTCAGCTGCCTGTTAGCCTTAGAATAGGTGAGCTTGACTGAATACTCCTCCAGAGGGAATGCTACTGGATATATACATGTGCCACCCTAGCACCACAAGGTCTAAATCAGGACCTTGAAGTGTATTTCCACCTTTGCAGTCATATTTCGGAACCTTCAAATACAGGGCTGTCCCTAAGGTGTTTGCCGCCTGAGGCGATGTCGAACTGGGGGGGGTTTGCTTCAGGAAATGGTCACTGGGAAGGGGGTGGCATCGTTCAAAGGGGG